CTTCTTCACCGGATTAGAGAGACACAGAGCATAGACTCAGCCAGCTGGGCTCTGGGAGCATTTCAGGCAACTGAAGTCTCATATTATAACTGAGGCTGCCGGGATGCTGGCCTCAAGCAGTGGACTTTACTCAGGCACGCACCTACACGCTCACTCTCACTCTGACGCCTGGTGGGGCTCCTTTCACTCCCGCAGCATCAGATATATTCATAGGTACCTTTGGCAAGCGCAGCACGGCACCGAGCATTGGGTGGGGACCAAGGAGGTGAAGGTACATTTATCAAGCACCTACCACGCACTGGGCACTGAAGGAACGTTTATCAAGCACCTACTACGCACCGGGCACTGAGGGAACGTTTATCAAGCACCTACTACGCACCCAGCGCTGAAGGTACGTTTATCAAGCACCTACTACGCACTGGGCGCTTAAGGAACATTTATCAAGCACCTACTATGCACCCGGCGCTGAAGGAATGTTAATAAAACACCTACTACGCACCCGGCGCTGAAGGAACGTTTATCAAGCACCTACTATGCACTGGGTGCTGAAGGAACGTTAATCAAGCACCTACTATGCACCCGGCATTGAAGGAACGTTTATCAAGCACCTACTACGCACTCAGCACTGAAGGAACGTTAATCAAGCATCTACTATGCACTGGGTGTTTAAGGAACGTTTATCAAGCACCTACCACACACTGGGCTCTGAATGAACGTTTATCAAGCACCTACTACCCACCGGGCACTGAAGCAACGTTTATCAAGCACCTACTACGCACCGGGCGCTGAAGGAACGTTAATCAAACACCTACTATGCACCCGGCACTGAAGGAACATTAATCAAGCACCTACTACCCACTGGGCGCTGAAGGAACGTTTATCAAGCACCAACTACCCACCAGGTGCTGAAGGAACGTTTATCAAGCACCTACTACGTACCAGGCGCTGTGCCTGACATTTCCACATGAACTTGCTGCCTGACGAATGAATGACGTAGTGAAGAGGTATTATTACTCCTCTTTGTGAGTAATAATAAATGAGGATGAGACAGGCTTGAGGACAGCGAGTGACCTGCCTACGGAAGCACAGCTGCTAAGTTAGCAGGAAAGGTCATTAAGATGGTACTCAACATGCTGAAATTGAGTCAGCAGTCTGAGTTCTGACACTGCGCAACCTTCTAAAGGGGTGACCCGGACAAGTCACCTAATTTCTCTGAGCCTCAGTTTTCTCATCTATAAAATTGGGATGATGGTAACATCTATAATC